CACTCTTGGATTTTCCACGATATCCAGAGGTTACCGGAGCCCATGGATAGCATATGCAAAAGAGGGAAGGGCTCAAGAAGCATTATCAAAAGGGTAGAAAATCCGATGGAGGGTTGGATTGGGGGAGGGAGGGACTGAGGAAGAAGGTGAAAAAAGGAATAAAAATAGCGGAAAAACCGGAGTCCTGACTGTAACCCCAAAACAACTTTTTATTGCAGCTAGCCAACTCCTGCAAATCCTCGGCGGTGACTTTTCAGGACTAAATCATCTCTCCCCTCTGCTCGCCAAGCTCAAGTCACAAAAAGCGGGAAGGAAGGAGGGTAATTAAATTCCTGTGGGGGCTGTAAAGGGGTCAACTCCCTCATGCTTCTCCTCCATTCCAAGTCCCAAAAAGAAAAATATGTCTCGCGGTTTCCCTCCTCCCCCCCACTCCTCTATAAGAGCATTTTAAGTCCCTTTGAAGAAGAAAGGGGCAATTAGCAACTTAGTAATCATGGCATACTTCTTCTCTGAAACGGATTCCGGACTCGCTTCTATTTAAATTTGTCTCTTTTTATCTGATTACTATTTATTATGATTAATATTTATTACTATTATAATCATTATTAATATCAAGGGCTAAACTAGCTTTTATGATTTTCTCGAAAACGGCTCCAATGATTTTGGTTGAATTCATTTTATCAGTGTAAAATTAAGCAGTTTTAAATAAAATGTAGGTTTTATTCTGACAGGGCTTAAATAGCTAATTTCCAATATCAGCTTCTAATAAAGTACTTTTAATTTTTTTTATTCGAAACAATTGATCATTTCACATTCATTTACAATATAAAATATAGTTAAATATAAAATATGAAAGAATTTGATAATTAACTAAAGGAAAAATATGAGATCGTAACGGAGAATAGTTGTAATTGAGGAAGCAAAGGAATACGAGCGCACCCGAGCTCGGTCGAAAGATTAAAACAAGCTTCCATACTTAACATGAGCTTAATATATATAATAAGGACTCCGACCATATTATATAAATATATGTATGCGGTTTTCAGAAATGCTATTGTTATAACAAACAATTTAGGAAAACTGCTTCCAAATTTTCAATTACGTGATGCCTTGTATTGCTATTAACCAGTAAGGTAGTGATTTAGAATATGGTAGGCAAGAGTCTAACATAAAATATTCCTCGTCAAATCACTATAACCTGCCTTGAACATTTACTTGTACAGGAAAATAATACAGTTTCTCAACTCCATTAGGTAAATTTCAATAAGAGAGGAAACGTTAACGTAAGATATTGATCCTCAAAGGGCGAACCTGATGTTCTTTTATCTCCGACCTACATGGCTACCTCTCTGCAGTAGATTATTAGTTAGCTGGAGCGGATAAGGTTTCTTTGAAAGTTGACAGTTAAGTTTGGCCGGGATTGAAGGAAAATCAGGCGGGACAGGAATAGACAGAGATAACCAGGGACTGATTCAGTAAGAGGTCAATTAATTAGGCGGGGGCGCAAGTCAAAGGGCGCTGTCAGGAGCATCCTCTTCCTCTTTGTCAGGACGCCCTACCCGCCTTCTGCGCCCGTCTTATTTAGTGGCGGAGTGTTAATAGTGGGGGGGGGAAGATAGGGTAGGCATTCATCGATGTCATTCCTTGTACGAAAATAATCAATCCTATAGACTCTTTAAAAAATGAGGATTAACATGTTTAGAGATTTATTTTTGATTTGGTCAATCATTTTATTTAAATACATTTTTATTTATATAGGGTTGATTTCAGACCTCATGAGCAACAAATAAATTTTTACAAACCAGGGTCTGATTTTCCGCAGGAAGTAAACAAATAATTGAATATTTAATAGTTGACCGTTGTATTATAAAGAAAGGAGATGGTGGCGGTCATAAATAGGCTAAATAGTGGTAAAACTATTTTACTAAAAGCCAACGTTTCGACCTGACTTTGCAGGTCTTCTTCAGGGCTAGAACAGACAAGATTTAATTTTGTGGTTTTCTTTTTCTTTCTCCACATTCCTTTATGTCTATTATTTCATATTATATCCTTTTTCCTTTTCTTTCAATCTCTCCTGTAGATCTGTAGAAATATATTCACATTTGCATTTATTATACATTACACTGCAACAATTGTTAGCATCTATTTACTTCAGTTTAGGATCTTGTTACTTAGCTTACTCTGTTCATTTTTGATGTACTTACTGTTTAGAAAAACATCCTTGTTTAGTAAGTTTTAAGTCCATAATAATTAAGTTGATTTTTGTTACAGAATAATTTGCGATTCACCCCAAGTTGTATAAAAAATGAGTTGATTTGATAACCTGTCATCTAATAGTATTCATGTTTTCGGTAAAAATAATCGCAATAAATTATTGTAAAGCCATAATTTCTTATTTTTCCCCCCATAGAAATGACTATAATAAATGTAACTGCAAAAGGCATTTTATTTACAGAAAAAATTAATAATGATTATTTTTTAAATATTTACATATTTATAAATAAAAACTCCATATTTATGAAGTTATGTTCATCATATTAATCCCCATGTGATGGAAAAATATCTGGTGTGTTCACTCACACGATATCCTACCTATTTCAGAAAACTTTTTATATCTTTATATATGTTCATGAAGAAACAAAAAAGAATTGAACTAGATTTATTTTCCTGAAAATTGATCAAACAAACAATTTTAGTACGATTTATTTGATTCACTAAAGCAATGTAAACCGGCTTAAGGTAGATCAGTGTAAAAATTTCAATACTTACTAATATTGCTGGAAATCTTGGCACAGACAGACAGACAGACCAATCGCTAAAAATGCGTTTTTCGGACTCAGGGGGCTCTGAAACGTATAGATCCGTCGAAATCCGCATTTCGGAAATTTCTCCAGAATGAAATACTTTCCTTACCTAGTATAGGTAGGAAAGTAATAAGTTAAAAAATTTGTAAAAAATAGAATAAGCTGTATCACCACTAATACTGGTTCGATTCCGATGATTTTTTTGTTTTGTTAGTAATTTAATTACTTTTCAAAAGTTTTATTATAAATTTTACCGTATAATATATACTTAGGGAGTTAGGTCCCATAACATTTTTCTTTATAACTAATTTTTTCGGGAATTTAGTTGATATACGAAAATTGATAGGGCAACGATTAGAATATTACAGGAAAGTTTTATCAAAATCGTTAGAGCCGTTTTCGCGCTACAGTCTATAGAAAAACATGTTTTTCATTTATTGCGCAGCAGCTCTTGCGCATGGAGCATCTAATTTGTGTCACAGGCATCAGTAGTCAAAAATCTACAAATTAAAAAAAAAAAAACAACGAAATTGGTTTACGAGAAAATCTTGGCACAGACAGACAGACGGACAGACCAATGGCTAAAAATTCGTTTTTCGGACTCAGGGAGTTCTGAAACGTATAGATCCGTCGAAAACCGAATATCGGAAATTTGATCCGAATGAAATACTTTCCTTACCTAGTATAGGTTGGAAAGTAAAAAATTGTAATAATTGATTGCAATTAATTTAGCTGGAAACACGATTACTTTTTGATGAAGATTTTATAAAATCTGTAGTATAGTTGGAGGATAATGATTATATATATATAAAAAATAGTAATTTTGTGTGGTTATAATATTTATAGACTACATAGTATATTTTATATAATAAAATAGATTAGAATGTGTATTACTACACTAAAATATTAATTACGTAATAAATAAAAGGGAAAAAATAGGCGAAAAGGAGGAAAAGAGATGGAAGGAGTGACTCAGATAGGGAGAAAAGAGAGAGTAAGAGAGATATATAGAGGCAGGAGGATAGGTATAGATGGGGGGCCTTAAGTGTAGTTCTCTTGAGATACAGGGAATTATGAATAATGCAACGGGCCCCCGGCAATGTTTTCGAATTTAGTTTCTAATGTTTATCAAACCTTCTCCGGCGTATTCAGGTCAAATATAAATGCGACCGGCATTCAAGTTATAACTAAACGCAGTCAATGAACAACTTTTAATGAGTTAGTTTTTTAGAATCTATCAAATGGCACAGGTCTAAATTACTTTGGATTTATTAAATAGCAGATAAAAAAGTTTTGCAGTTTTTTTAAAATTTGTTGCGTACGTATTTTTTTTAATAAAACGTACTTCTACTTTTATGTATTCTAAGTAATTTTCTATCGATTTATCTTGGACAATAAAACAAAAGAATAAAGATAATATCGACAGTTATGTACTCATTTTTTGTGCCATGATGTGTGTATCAAGTATTAATTGGAAATTATTTCGATCCTGTGAACTCTTTACCTAAAATGAGATATGATATAACCAAATAAAGGAGTATGTATGAGTTTTTTATACTTTCAACAATATTTCCTCTCGTGTTCAGAAACTGGTTCTTTTAAAATTCAAGATCCTAAAAAAATATATTTTGAATGCTTGGCATACCACTTATCTTTATATAGAAGAATACAAATCCAAAAAGTGCCATAAATTAAACGTTAAGATAAAATTGGAAAGTTGCATACACGTCTCTAAAACAAAGGTAAAAACACAACAATATATCATAGTTTCGCCGCTTCATGCATTATCAGGTGCAGATACAAATTACATATCACGTATGAAGACGAAGTAGCCATGGAACAACTCCAATATGTATGGAGAAAATCTAGTGGTCAAGTTCATAAATTAACAACTACAAATTAGGAAGAACTTGAAGGTTCATTAATATTTCGATAATATTAAAAAGAGTTTGTACTGAAAAGTAGACTGCGACTACATAATATTACATTAAAATTAATTTATAAAAACATAAAAATGGTTCCAAAGACTTATGTCTTGTCCAACTGGGGTTTGCACATTAATAAAAACACAAATGCCAATTCTTTAAATTATGAGCTACATAACCCTCATGTCCGCAAATTTAAAGAAAAATAAATAAATTACACTTATGATGAATAATATATTTAACTAATTAATTATCTGATATAATTACTAACCTTCTCCATTGCCGGTCTGTATCTTCTGGCCACCCTCCCGCCTCCAGGTGATCGTGGGGGGAGGTGATCCGCGGGCGGCGCATTTGAAAGCAACGTTGCTGTTCTCCCTCACTACCATATCCGTGCTCGTCTCGTTGTCCAAGATGTCTGGAGGAACTGTAGAAGAAAAAAAAAACAACTTAAAATTACAAAAAAAATCTAATCATTAATACAGTTTTGAGCAGTCTAAACAGTTCGTTGACCTTGAAAAGTCATCATCAATGGATCATGACCTGTTTAAATTTCGCACTTGAAAATTAATGTTTAAATATTCCGTACCCTCCGAGGCGTCTGAAAAGAAGATGGCCTCGAGATCTCCTTTTGTAAATACATTTTTAGAGTGCTACCAGTGGGAAGTTTCTCAACAAGTGATTTCATGCTATTTTATTCCTTTGTTCACATTTACTGAATGTATTTTTACTTGTAATACAGTTGTAAATATCATCAATAAAAAAAAAAATTCCGAATATGTTAGTTCAAAAGTAATGAGGATAGGGAAGAAGCCGCGAAGAATTATGTGTGCCATTTCATATATCTAAGCGCGCACCTAAATGAAAATGGTTATATTGATACGGAGGTTACTTAGAGGATGGAAGGGGGCGGGGTGGCCGAATGGGCTAAAGTGTGTTCACAGCACCGCGAGTTGCCTGGCAATCGGAGAACAAGATTTGAGGTGAGTGAAAAGTACGAGTTCGCGTCCCGGTGCCGGAGGGGATTTTAAATTCCCCGCCCTCACCCTCCGGCCCGGGAAAATCCCGTATAGCTAAAAGGCGAGGTAGGGAAGAAAAAAACAAAAAAAAAAAAAGAACTTAGAGAATGGTAAGTATGTTTGAAGCCGTCAAGTGAGGGTTCCTGAACAGACAAGAGGCGAACAAGAAAGCAACAGTGGCTGTGGCATCATGGACGCTAACAAAGAAGCATCAATCAAGAATACAAGAGCCTGAAATAAGATTTCTCAAAAAAATTGAGGAGAAAACAGGGAGAGAGCGAGTTCGCAACACTACAATTAGTACGAACCTCAATTTTAAACAAGCCCATGAAGTTATAGAAGAGAATAGACTAAGATGGCTGGATTTTCTCTTAAGAAAGGGACCTACCAGAATTGCTAGAGAAGTCTATCAAGCCTAGGTTGACGGGAAGAGAGTAAAAGGTCGACCAACAAATAAATGAGAAGAAGAAATACAGAAGGATTTTCTGATAAGAGGACTCCAATGGAAAGAGAGAAGGCGTTTGGTGCAAGACCGGCAGAGCTGGAGAAAGCTGTACAGACTTCCTCCTCACACTGCATAGGCGGCACGAGGAGAGAGAATATGAAGATGATGAGAAATATGTTAGTGGCGAGTAATCATAATAATAATGGAAACTGATTTAAAAAACTTGACGATAAAAAACGTAGCCTACAAAAATATTAAGCCGTTTTGCCTTTTATATATATAACCTCGTTATTTTACCATCTTGGGGTTAGAGGTCACACACACCAAACGGCCAAATATTTAGGTAGGAAACATTTTTTTTTTTTTTTTTTTTTTTATCAAATTATCTTACGATTCTAATAGAAAGAAAATAGGTTTTTATGAGTTTTCAATAACTTCGGAAACGCCCTATATCCGAGAATTTTCGTAAATAAAAAAATATGTAGGTTACAATACGATGAAGCCATTTACGAAGTTTTAAATCAATGTTTATAATTTGATAAAAAGGGGTCTGTATGGCGGTCTGTTTTAACTAAAAAATATATACATAAACTAAATTAAATTTCTTGTTATGACAAAATTAAATTTTCTATTTATTATATTACCAATTATCTGAGGAAAATCAGAAATTGGTGCTTTAAACAATCATTGTGTTTAAAGAAATTGGAACATACATGGGAGTACCTATGTAAATTGTACATATAAATTAATTTAAGAACTATAATGATTATTTAATTCTCAAAGAATTTAGTGATGGCTTACGCTGGACCTGGTGAAAAAAAATTTGTGGGGAGAGGAGAGGGTTAGGTTTTTCTCTTCAGGGGTAATGATCATCAATCATTTTATTGTTTAAGGTTCAATTGATCCTGCCTCGCGGGCGATACGTCTTTACAATAATTTTTAATGAAGAATTTTGACTGATTATTCCTATAATTAGTCCAAAAGAAAAAAAAAAAGGCGGCGAAATTAAGAAAGGAAAAAAGATAATGGTTCTATGCATACCAGCACATATAACAAAAATGATGAAAAAAATAACTATATTTATAAACTTTTAAAGAAAACGAAACAAAAGAAACTAGATCGACAAAATATCTGAAATTAACAAAATGTCACTGTGAAATATGAAATGACAGACATCATTAAACTATTACTGAACTAGTAGTAATTAAATTAATAGGAGCAAGCAGACATATTTTTTTTCCTCTACATATAGGGTTAATAAGCAATTATTATTTTTCCATACTAAAAAGTAGGATCTATATCGAATTTATTTTGGTTACACAATATGATTTCATGATTTTATTACTACACTTTGACAAACATGTTTGGTTTGATTGTGGAGGTATAATTTTTGTAATTAATTGTAATGGTCTTGTCATATTGGGTCAGTTTTTATAAGGTTTATGTGTATTAATTAAGTTACTTTAATTTTTTTTGGCACGGGTATAATTAACATAATAAAAAAACATTTTATTTTATTAATCTAGTTAATTTTTTTTCCTTCAATTCTTCATCCGCACCTGTCATGGTAGTGACAATTAGCAGATTTGTTGTTAAGTTGAAAATGGCAATATGCATGACGAAGAATGGTGCCCAGCAGCACCTCTTCCCTGGTCTGTTTACATCCTAAAATCAGGAAAGTTTACATCCTGCTCTTGTTAAATTATTAAATTATTTTTAGAGTTTCATAAATATTGATAACAACTAAAATTTTTGACACATTATGATTTTTTAACAATTAATAAATAAATTTGTGTTAGTTTATTATTTTAATAATAGTTATATACGGGTGATTTTTTAAAATTTGATTTATCTATTTTTAAAAATGCGATTACGATTCTATCTAATTGTAATTTGACACTAAAAAAAAATCTCATCAATCCAACAGGTAACTTTTTCTACAGACTTAGATAGTATTGTTCAAGATATCAGCTAAATAATTTCGGTTATTCAAACCGAATCAAAATGTTTACAAGGCTATGAACGAAAATCATAATTTTAAAAAGACAGTTTTAGTAATAAAATTTTTGAAAAACGAAATGACTTACAGCTAAATCATGAGGAGGCCATAGTTCCATTTCTGTGGTTGAAGTGGAATTCACTTTAACGATTTCGAAAATAAACAATAAAGTCGTGTTGTGAACCGATTAAGGTTAACCAACAATGAATAAAGAAATGTGATTTTCTATCTCTGAGATAGTGATATTTTATAATTTAATTGATATTGAAAACATTTCATCCAATGTTAGGAGTATATGAGAAAGTTGCTAGGATTTGGAGATATCAAATGAGACAATACATCTATTATAAAAGGCGGAGCACTACTAATGGAGATATTAGTAGTATTCCATTTGACACTTAACTTCTCATGGAACAGTCAATTTTAATGCCACAGCCATTTAACCGGACTATTTTACTTAAATTTGTTTATTGTATAAATTTAACAGCTATCTATGTACATACTAAACAGAAGTATATCTAAACATAAATATTTTTTTGTTGCAATATTTGAATAGATTAACATAGTCAATAAGTTAAAATTAATCTAACCAACCTCAGATATCGAATGACTAGATAATGCAGATCAAATTCATATTTTAATATTTAAATTTTAATATTGTGTTTAATCCTAATTGAAGAATTAGGTGAACGCACCAGCTATGGACAGGGGGCATAGTGATGTACAGATATGACTTTAAATGTAAATAATAATCTTCCTTATTGATTTAAAAGTTCCAGTTTTTTCTTGATCGAAGAACAATGTTCTCTCTTGACAACTGCATGAACAAAGTTCCCAAAACAACATTTGGAAATGTCTATCATTGTTGTTTCTATAGCGCTCTTGAGATAGGTGTGTTTCATACCTTCCTACTAACAGTTTTGTTATCTTATCTTAACGTTATCTGTATAGGTAAATATGCCCATTACTGGTACCGACCACCCTACCCATCACCAGAACAAGTGAAGTTCGGGGTGTCCATCACTAGTGCAAAATAGTGTTGTTTTTTTTCAAATGGAGATTATACCTGCATAGCATCAATTTTAAAGTGCTAAATATAAAAAGGAGACCCTATAGATTTTAAACGTCCAATGGAGAAGTTTCTAACTATAATAATTACGACGGCATAAGCCAAAAAATGCAAAAAAATCCTGAGCTATGTCCATCACTGCGCTTACCCTGCCTTCTGTATTTATAAATAGAAATAGTTCTAAATTCCAACTAATACGTATCTTAAGGAAAGTTAATTTCTATCCAAAAACTTATTTAACTTACGAATTATGAAGATACTGTTCTAAGTACTGCGTTAAGGCCAGAGAGGTGATCAGGCCAGGATCACGCTTTAATTAATTAAAACCGCCAGGTTTTCCCTCTCAAATTATTATTTTAGAGCAACGAAACTATTGAATGTCGAACATATCTACAGTTTAGATAAAGGTTATGATACTTACTATAATCTACCAAAAGAAGTTAAATAATTGTGATATTAATTTTACAGATTCTTTCCGTAAAATTTGAAATTTTATAAAAAAATATTTATTTGTTCTTTGTTACTTTGTAAAATGCCCTAGGCATTGCAAGGACAAAGCTTGCGGAATATATAGGTATATTATATTACAATTATATATGTAAATAGTTACAATAACATTATGGAGGATAAAGAAAAATCTTTCTTTAAATATTTACTTGGTTTCAAATAACAGTGACGCGGCTGAGAGAGAAGCACTGGGATCTCCTGGAGTCCTGCCTTGGCTTCCACGTCGGGGAATAAGGCATGACTCAGAGTCCCCTGGGTGAATGTAAATATTGTAAATAGGTGTGAATGGGATTTATTTACTTTAATTTCATCTAGCTTTTATCTATAATTTCATTATTTTTTTTGTACACAGGCATATCAATTTACATATTTTATTTTTTTTATATTT